GACCTAAACACTTCCAAGATTTTGAGACTGGGCAAAAATTTTCTGAGACCCACATATTTCAAGGAACCAATATTCTATACCCCTTATATTAATGTTTTAAACAGCTTCGCATTTTGTTTTCTAGAAGGTAGCCAGAAAATGGCTTCACTACAGTTTACAGTATTCAAACAGGAGTCAATAATCCAGGTCTCAATAGTTAAATAAATCTATTGTCCATTGCACTGCAAAGGGTCTCATGTGCCTCAAAATAACACGGCCAATGTCCTTACCCTCGATGGGTGGCTAAATCAAATGCAACACTGAGACCTTGTTGACCGGCTTTGATGTTGTCGCGATAAAACTTGTTGCTTTCTTCGACAGTACTGAATCCTGCATACTGTTAAAAATAATGTGTAAATCCATTAATTGCATACATGTCAGCATGCACTGGTAACTTCATTGTGAACCAACTACAATGTAATTCACATTGTTCTATAAAAGATGAAATTATTACTACAAGACTATATACATTATTATTCTAAATTTGATTTGTTTCTTTACATAAGAACAAAAGGCAATTTAGAAGAATTTGCACGGAGTCATCAGACCATAACTGGGCAAATATCTCAGAGACAATTTGCCTTGAGACGCTAGTTTTTGGTAGGTAGGCCTTTTGGGTGTTTTTTTTTTAGAATATCTCGAAAAATCCCATAATTTCACAAATTTAATTTGTATGATTTCATCACTTAAGAACCCCATTACAGACAGTATTCTACTGGGGAAGGGAAGTCAATTTTGGTTCTTATTATACAGAGTAAGACATTTGAGAAAATGGGATTCTACAGTTGTATAGCTGCACGTAATAAAAATTAAATTACGGAAATCAAAAAGAATCCCTCAAGTGTACCATACAATGCAGCTGTAAGTATCATGACTATACATACAGTGGAAGGTCTCCGTAAGTGGCCAGCTCCAGTTACGGACACCTTTTTCATGTCTGAAGGGTGTCTGCTCACTAGATCTTCCACTGTAATACATGGGACAACCTCTGTCCTGAAGCAAAGGTCTCACATGAACAAAGCTGGTGCTGAGTTAGCAGGATTGCTTTTTCTTCTGCTTTTTGAGTTCTGCACCATGGTTTTCATGGAAGGCTGTAATTGGTAAATTAACACACCTGTCTAATGGTCCAGGGTCGGTTGGTATACATAGTTGGGTAGGGACCCCGTGTAAAGGGAAACTTTCCAGGAATCTCCTCTTCTTCATGCTGAGTGTCAGTTCTGGTGTAAACAGGCTTGATGTCAATGCCCTGAAAGGTAGTTAACAGAGAATAATAATATATTAATGTGATAACAACAAACATCAATTATGTGGTATAATAAAGCCACAAATACCTAAGAGTCAATAATTTTTTTTCTTGATGATCATTTTTAACTTGTGGATTACATGTAGCATAGGAACGAGTTACATTGTGGGCATTGCGATATGCAAATGTGTCACTCAGGTGTAGTCACTTTCGTAATCGGTCGGCTCCGCATGATTTGGTTGGAGTCGTCTTTATCATGGGATTATCACATTAACTCAATTTGTGCTAAAGCTAACAAGGTGTTGGGCTTGATTAAAAGGACGTTTGGTTATTCAAACAAGACTGGTATCAAGACAGCTTTCAAGGCGCTAGTGATACCTATCCTCGAGTACGCCTGCCCAGTCTGGAACCCTTATCTGGTGAAACACACCAAGGCAATCAAAGCAATTCAGAGAAGAGCATCCCGACTAATGTGTGGCCCCGACAAAGAATATCCTGAAAGACTTTTAGAGTTAAAATGGGACTCTTTAGAACTGAGACGGAAATATCTTAGCCTAGTTCAAATGTATAAGATTATATTTGGTTACTGTGATATCAATTGCCATCATTACTTTGATATTATTGGAATAACTCGAACTAGAAGTAAGCATGAGTATAAAATAAGGCCTAAAGTTGCCCGTACAAATTATTTTAAATATTCATTTTTTCATAGATATATTAATGATTGGAACTCTTTGCCTTCTGAAGTAATGTCATCTCCTAGCCTTCAGTCTTTTAAAGTTTCACTGATTAAGTACCTTCGCTCATAATTTACCTTAAAATACTAGGCATAGTGTCTTTACTATAAGTTTATGCATTATTATTAGGCATCTAGGTTTATAATTTATAGTCTAATTTATAGTCTTTTAATATATGTTTATATATTAATTAATTTTAATTTTTTTCTTTACTTTTTTTTTTCTTTTTTCTTTTTTGGAGGGTATGTCTTAGCATGGGAATTTGGTTTCCCCCTACTACCGTCCTGTTAACCATTTTTGTATTTTTGTTCAATTGTATATGTTAGTATTAGTTCACTTGTATCAGTTATGTATGGTTACGAACTGTGATTAAAGATTAAAGATTTAAGAAAGCACCAGATATCAAAACGACAATAGTCGTAGATTGATCCCGTGATAATTAAAGTGCTGAGCGTGCATTGTGCCCAGAGCTTTCAATGTTATGATTTTGCAGCTTTCTTAGGACGATAGGTTGTCTTCATGTTGACTTCAAGTGTTTAAAATTAGCACTAAGACTTACTTGGAGACAGAATTTCATGAACTCTTGAAGCTTTTTTACTCATCCAGGCACTTAACACGACGAAGAGATGAGCAATGTTTATTGCTCTTTGACACCCCAAGCTCACAAGGAGTATATCGTGCTGGTAAATAACTACAAGCTTGGCCTCAAAATGAGAAATCTCACGCTAATGTTTTAAGCATTGATGAGAATGACTTTAATTGTCAAACTACAATGAGCAATACTGTTAAACAAGCACTTCTTGACCAGGAAACAAGTATTGTTATTACGTCAAGCATCAGCTGCACAATTATTGAAGCGTTCATGTCATGAAACCACAGAACATATGTGGTCAACCTGCACGAAGAAAACATTGCAAGGAAGGGTAGACGTACAAGGACGAAAAACGTTGAAGAAGCATCAGAACATTCTAACAAAGCAAGTCAAAGTTTCCTTGTAAATTTGGAGGTGCCCTCTGTGGCAGAGAACCATCGAGATGACAAATATGTTCTAAGAATATTAAACTTATTAAAATGTTCCAAAAAGAATAAGTGAAGTGGAACTGCATTAAGCTTTATATTATGTCCTGATTATGTATACAGAACATTACATTTGTCTCAAATGAAAAACTTTCAACTAGATTGTGTAGAGGTAGAACTGTAGGAAAAAATACTTACAATAAATAATAAATAAATAAACAATGCCTTTATTTAACGAGGGTAACACTAAATAGCCCAAGGCTAATAAACTTGTGGCCCTCAAAACACAATCTTACAAATAAATATAATACCAATACTAATAAAAAACACTAAAAAACTATTTACAATGTCTAGGTATAAATAGATTACAGAATAGATGTTAAAAAAAGAGACTACTATTTACAATTAAAAATATATATTAAAATACAACCTAGATATTAAAATGATGCAATAGTTGCTGATCCTTAAAAACTCTGCTAATCATGTTGTTCTTAAAACAAAGTAGTGAGTCTGCCCTGTGTATATGTAACAGGACACTGTTCCATAGTTTCGCCGCAGATACTGAAAAAGTTTGTCCGCCCCCTTGTTCATCTTATTGTTGTGTGACTGTTGTGTGACTAGGTGTACTGCTGTTGCAGATGAGACACATGAAATGGAAATGGCAGGTGTGATTCAGTATTTCCATGATAGCATTAAGTGTGGTTCTAAATATATTATATACTTGCTGTGATCAGTTGTGGTATTGATCATCGGTTACAAAATGTGATGCTAACAAAATACACTAAGTGCACAAAAAATCTACTTGATGTATGCATGCATAACTGGTAAAACTAGCATAGACAATACCAAATGGGTTTACTTAACATATACTCTGAGAGATGCAAGAAAGACTTTTTTGCTACGATTCGTAATGTATCTGAGAAAGCTAGTATTGATCGACTCACTTCAAGTATATAACATGCAAAAATTGTCAATCAGGGGAAATGAAATATGGTGAAGATATAATATTTGAGGGATTTCTGGAAAAACTAGGATTAGAATGACTAGACAGGGAACTGGGGATAAGCCACTATCTTGAGGTAGGAGACTCAATACCACAGTGAGTAAACATAAACCGGCACACTAAGCCCTAGCTGTGTGAGAGAGATTTTGCATTGTATGACCCATGCTTTGACAGACTAATACCGGTAGACTAATTGCAAGTTGATTCTCAGCTTCCATTTCTAAAATACTTAATCCACGAGTTAGCCAGAGGCATGCTTTGATTCTTATTCTTGTGGCTTTGATGTTTGATTATATGCTAAAGTATGAGTTACATCTACTGGGAGACAACTAAGTGCCGCAAATAACAAAAATGGCATCAGACCAGGTGGAAATATGGAGTAAAACTGTGAACACCTATTCTGCAGTTGAAAGATGCTGATCTGATGATTATGATGATGATGATGATGATCCTGAAGCAGGGTTTTCAATAAGAGCCGCTGGCGGGCAAAATTTGCTGGCTATTTCATGTTAACTTACCGCCACTTTCCTTTGGAAATTATCCTAGTTTTAATAAAGTATTCATGCGCTGTCACGGAAGAAAAAAGCCAAAATTTAATGATGTCAGTGATCTGTTCAAATACTCAAATTTTTGCTCAGGACAGAATACTGGAAATGCATTCTAAGAGGCCCAGATTTCAAAATTTTTCCAGAAACTTGTGACTTTACCACAAGCTTTTTCCTTTTCCACTTACTCCAAAGCTTTTGCCACCTTCTTAAAACCTTATTGAAAACCCTGTGAAGATGATGAGGACCATAAAGGTGATGAGGAGGATAAGGATGATGTTGATGATGATGGTGATGATAATGACAATAAATTATGATGGCATGTACGCTCATACATACACATATTTTGACAAATAAAAAGTTAAATAAATCCCCAAGGTGGTTTATAGGGGGATTTAAATACAAATTGTTAGTAATCATGGTTCCATTACCTCTGGTGTGTGCCATGTCAGTTTCTTCGCAGGATCAGCACCTTTCAGTTGTTTCTTGGCCAGTTCATTCCATTCTGGATGCAGTGGTTCTCGGTGCAGAAAGCGCTGTGCTGCTACCTTTGACATTAAATGACCAACTTTAATAATCAATTATGCTTTAGGACTGGGTAGAGTCCAGTTTTTTCTGTAATCTGGCATTTGAGTTATAATCAAAATTGGACAGCCAGGATGTTAGATCAAAAACAGCATTAAATTTGGAAGCAAAATTGACTGCAACATCAGTGGTTTTTCAGATGAGTGAGCAACTAAATTGTTGGCATTGCGCTTCAGGCCAAACATAAGAGATTTTACTTGCAGTAAATTGATAATGCCCCTATTGTTGTGACACAACATGGTTCAACGTTGAGATGGGGGATGTACCACCCCTACTCTACCTCAACATGGCTTCATGAGAAAGACAACTACCCATAGGAACAATGTATGATTACCAGACATCATCTAAACTATTAAAACCCCTAGGCAACTGCTCTTTATCTCCACATAATGAGGCACATAGTTGTGAAATAACTAGAGCAACCAGGTTTTCACTCTCTATGTTTGAGATTTGTTCCCATTTTTAACCAATAATAATAATAATAATAATCAATTAAGCTTTTAACTTATAGACCTAATTCCAGGATCCAATAAATCTTTAAGGTGATAAGAGAAAGGCTTTTTCAAGTTATGTAAACTTCAATACTCTGCAGATAGTAAGCTTAAATATAAGCAAGCTTTGAAAAACAGAGAAACAGCTGAGAGAACATATATTAAAGCTGAAAATTACAAGGCATGTCCACAGTCACGTCTCGGATAACCAGATTATTTATCGAGAAAAACTGTTAGAGAGTTTACCTGGTATGCAGCTGATAGCGGACTGAAAAAAAGTTTGTTCTTCAACCTGGCACAAGTCAACATATCAGAAATTATGATGGGGAAAATAGCAGTAATTCCGAACCCCAACTTTCGTTGCCCTTCTGCAAAAGTGACTTTTACATGACGTACATAACGAGCAAGGGGACATCAGCTGACCACATGTCATTCTGAGTGGGTCGTGACTAGATACTCCAAAATCAGGTATCCGCTCGGAGACTGGAACTGAATAAAATTATTTTTCGGCAAATCGCTCCGACTCTTTACGACCTTGTTGTGTTGAAAGACTAAGTATACAAAGACTGAAGAAGGCTATGATGAGAATGGTTACTCCAAAATATGGATCAAAGCGTACATAGAGGTTAGTTGTTTTCACGTTCTTTGTAAGAATTAAGTGCAAGGAGCAAACAATGTCTGTTTAATTACAGTACCACTACCGCGACTGCCGTGTAAAGCTTATTCATAGCAAAGTATCTGTTTGGATAGCTCAGAATAAGGTGGATACTTCAGAATAAGGATGGCCAAAATATGGAAGTTTTGGCCATCTGGATTATTATTACTGAACTTCCCAATATAAAAATGATTGTTACGTTTACAAAGAGGGTACAAATACAGTCAACCATTGTGTAACTATGGCTCAGTTAATTCGAAGCTTGCCTATAAGATAGCAGCCCGGTGTAGGGGGGGAGGGGGGTTGGGAGGGGTACTCGGCCAATATTTGGGTATAGGTGAGCCGCTGAGGGTTTGAAACCCATACCCTGTTTAGGATAACACCCTCAACTTTAGTACCCAGATAGGACAACTCCCTCAGATGGGGACAAGGTTATCAAGCACACCTGTCAACTTGTACTTATCTTATTTAGACAAGGGTGCCAAGAACAATAACATTTATATTTATTCCAGTAAATGCTTTGAGTGATTACGTACTAAATATCTGCAAACATTTGCACTAAGACGAAATCGATCATGCATGAAACACCCTGTTTATAATTATAACAGACTCGCACAAATCATGCACACTGTTTAGGACAGACTTGCAGGAAATTGTATACCCTGTTTAGGACAGACTTGTGCCAAACCATATACCCTGTTCAGGACAGAGAGGACGAAAACCATACCCTGTCCAGCGGCACATCCCCATGGAGGCCATATAAGGGAGTACCCCCCCCCCCCAAGGGATAGCAGACAGTTGTTGAATTTATGGCTCAACATAAACTATTTCTGTTTTCTTATATATTATGGTTGATTTTTTTTCACTTTTAAGTGGTAAGTTGCTGTTTAGTTTAGTGTGAGAAGAATGGGTACTTTATGAGATTATAAGAACCAAAGTGACCCTCACAACCTGTGGGATACTCGGGTCAACCTTTTGGTGCGCTGGGTATCTGGCACAATTAGCCAACCAGAACCCAAATCCTTTTACAGTCTTTTCTATGACCAAAAGGCCCAATGTTAGCTACTTTTGGCAAATGTAAACTATGTGATTCCAAGTTAGTCATTTTGTATTCCTGAATCTGCTGTGTGAACCTTTGTAATTTCCAGTCACATTGAAGGTGTTGAAAATGCAGCCCCTTTATTGTCCATCCTGTCATGAAATGTTGCCCCATCCACAGGTAGCCCAAACTCTGAAGGAGTTTGTTGGACTTTGAATTTATAAGAGAATGTATGACAATAAACAAAATACGTCCTAAATTCCATTTTTTGACAAAAATAGAAATGAGAATGACTTACCTTGTGTTTTTGTTTTGTTAAGCTAAAACGGCCTGGATATACCCTACTTCAATAATTATTATTTATTTATCAGTATTTTAGTTATTCATTTTGATATTAGGCAGGTACCACAAGGAAATGATTTGGTTGTTCCTTTTTAATTTAGATGATAGATAACTTTGTAGGTGATAATTATTTGTAATGCACTGAACTGGGGGCCTTTCTCTGCTACCAAAAGAAAATCTTTAACTTTTAAAACAAAAGGGTCAAGGCTTCTTTGCTGAATCAAGGCACTGTATCGTGGAACACAGTGCTTTTTAGAATTACCGCCAAAGTAGCAGCTTTATTTCCTGAAAGAATGATTATAATGGAAGCTTTATTTAATGCATGGCTAATTTCAAATTTTCAGGTGACTTTCCACCCCAGGTATAGAGGGTACATAAAAGCACATTGTGGAAGTGGAGAAAGAGTAAGAGGAAAGTAAAACAGAGGAAAGAACTATGGGAAAAGGAAGAAATGAAAAAATGGTTGTAGAATTGTAAACAAACAACTTTATTTTTATAAAAGTAATAAACAATTTTTTTTTAACATTTTATCAAATTCTTAGAGTGGTTTGTTTGTGGTTTTGAGAATTTTATTAACCAAATGGTCAAGCTACCCAGACATGCAACTGAGCAGCCAACTGCTTGGCCTCAATGAAAATTGTTTTTTTTTCCTGTTTTCTTTTTTTCTTTTCTTTTTTTTCATTTTATTTGCTATTTCTCTTGAGGCCTTCTCCAATTTTCTTCATTTCTTTCTCCAACTGGTTTCTCTGTTCCTCACAAGCATTTGACTGCAATACCCTCCGGACCTCCAACTCCTCCTCCTGTTACAGCTGCAACATGGATATATGTTGTAGTGAATTTTTTATCTCAGTTAATTTTTTTTTCCATTGTTTTTGGGTATGGTAATGTATGCTAATGATTTTGAAACAAAGGAAAAACAAAAATTACCTGAAATAAAAATATTAACTGCAACATATACCTGCATGATCATTTTTATTCCATTTTAAATTTATGATAAGCTCACCATACTGAGTGAAAAACAAAAAAATAGCCCATAACCAGCTTAATGCTGAAGGTCTTGTCTCATCAGGAGCTCAAAAGGCAATCAAGGAAATAGGTAATAGGTCACAGGGAGGGGAAGAAAAACACCTTCCCCCCCTCCCCCCTTGAGTGGAGGAAGGGGGAAGAAAAAGAAAAAGAATTCATCCCAGGATCAACAGGATCTATTTCCACACTTTTCAACACCATGGTGGTACCACGTGGCTGAGGACTGTTGTCAGAAAGTTCAGTGTGGAATAGGGTATGGAAGGCAGAGAGTTTTGGTGAAAAAAAAAAAAAAACAAAATCGAGTGCAAAAAAGCAACTATAAATAATTTTGCAAAAATCCTAATATTTAGGATAAATAATTTGAATTGATACTAGAGTTTCTTGTAAATGTAAAAAGATAGCAGGTGAATATGGGCGGGCTGGCAGAGGCCAGCAGTAGATCTAGGGAGGTCCCCGGCCCTCCATATTTCTAGATCAAATTGAGGACAACAGTGCCAAGAAAATTCTTTTCTAGATTGAGCTCCTCCGTACCTTAAGGTCTGAATGAGTGGTTCCTTCCTGCCACCTTAAGGTCTGGTGAGAATCCTCCCCCCCCCCCCCCCCCACCCCTCTTCTTATCTGAAGGTTGCGATCTGCCACTGTAGGCTCCAGGTGCTATATCAGAGCTATACAGAGACACTACACTAATACAATCTGCAGGACCATTTTTTTTTTGTAACTTGAGCATATGTCTGCCTGCGCTTGTAATAGTGATCACCAAGCTACAAGAAGTATGACCTGAAGTAAATTAGGGACCTGTCATTTATTAGAGGGGGGGCAGGGCTGGTGCAATTCCTTTTTTCCCAAGTGAACTTTTTTATGCCCTCCCCCAATTTCCTGCAGAAAAAAATGTAACCCTCCCCCTTGTATGGCCCAAAATAGTTATGACCCTCCCCACGCTAAATTACCTTGTGATGAAGGGAGGCGCCAATACGACATTCAGGAACAGGTATCTAAGATCACCTCATGCATTGAAGCAATATTGAGCACGAACAATCCTGGTGCTGCTGGAAAATTTTACACGACCGATTATGTTCTTGTCCCAGCTGATTAGGTAATACTGAGGGCGAACATTATGAAGCTCAGTGAGTTACTAGAGAACATATTAGATATGGATAGACGCATTAAAGCTCACCTTAACACCCTGTTTCACTCAAAGACTGGTAATTTTATACGGGGAGAAGAGTATTCTAAATCGTTTGATGAAGCTGTTATTACAAGGCTTGATGAAGCTAAAAAAAGAGTAAACAGTGAATTGAAATATCTTAATGAGAAACTTGATCAATGCAAAGACATGTTTCGCAGTGTGTTGCTGTCGAAAAACAAATCAAGAAAAAGACGTACATGTAGGGTTGTTGGGTAGTTCAGGTTGATCATTATGAAAGTTTAAAATGCTTACTGTGCAAGGGACTTGTTTGTTAAATAATATATTTTATTTGTTGATTTATTTTTATTTTAAGTGAACAGCAATGTTTGCTAAAAATGGTATGGCCCTCCCGAAAGCCCAGCTTAAATATTTTTTGGTGACCCTCCCCTTTTTGGCTACATAAAATTTAATGACCCTCCCCCCAATTGCACCAGCCCTCCCCCGCCTCTAATAAATGACAGGTCCCTTATGTGTTTTTTACTATTGTTAACACTTGGAATCAATAGACAACTAACCCATAAAATTACAAGATGGTTAACTGACCTTAACTGTATTTGTACCCTCTCTGTAAACGTAACAATCATGTTTGTATTGGGAAGTTCAGTAATAATAATCCAGATGGCCAAAACTTCCATATTTTGGCCATTCTTATCCACCTTATTCTGAGCTATCCAAACAGATACTTTGCTATGAATAAGCTTTACACGGCAGTCGCGGTAGTGGTACTGTAATTAAACAGACATTGTTTGCTCCTTGCACTAAATTCTTACAAAGAACGTGAAAAACAACTAACCTCTATGTAGGCTTCGATCCATATTTTGGAGTAACCATTCTCATCTTAGCCTTCTTCAGTCTTTGTATACTTAGGGTTTCAACACAACAAGGTCGTAAAGAGTCGGAGCGATTTGCCGAAAAATAATTTTATTCAGTTCCAGTCTCCGAGCGGATACCTGATTTTGGAGTATCCGTTCTAATCACGACCATTCTGAGTGCCCTTCTGCTGTAAAGCAATGTCACGCAGTCACGAGCAGCTTTTGTGACGCTTAACGGTCTACTCAAGGTCTGATTTGGATATTTATATTTTTTAGTATCAGTTATACGATCAGATGATTTTTAACTGGGTAAAGATTTCTAAATATTGACAACATGAAGCATTTTTTGGTCCCATATCTGCAACACAGTATTCAACCCTTGACCTGGACAGGCCTGCATCAACATCACAGTTGGTCTTAAAGGTGACGTATAATTGTGTGCCATCATCATGGAAGTGATACAGTAGATTATGAGACTTAATGATGTCAGCAACAGGCGCGGTGTATAATACATAACGTAGGGGCCCCCTAGGTCGACCCTTGAGGAACCGCACATGAAACGGTACGCGTAGTCGACTTACTTCCCTCGACTTGGACATAGTACTTACGAGATTTTAAATAGGACTCAAACCAAGCGAGGACAGTGCCATTAACACTTAATCGGTCTGATAACCTAGATAACCGAATAGAATGATCTACAGTATCGAAAGCCGCAGAAAGATCTAACAATAAAAGAATCACTGAATGCTTACTGTCAATGGCACAAAGAATGTCATTCTGCACTCTGACAAGAGCAGTTTCAGTAGGGAGAGTGATGAAGCTTGTAAGCTGACTGGAACCATTCATCTAGACGGTGGGTAGAATTATAGGCACTTAATTGTACTGTCACTGACTTTTCAATGACTTTGGGCACCATTTTCAAATTCGAGATCGGACGAAAATTAGAATAGTTCATAACATCAGCATCAGGTTTCTTAAGGGCTGGTAGCAGCTCAGCAATCTTGAGTGCATCCGGAATAGTTCCAGAAGTGAGTGATTAATTAACCATTTTCGTTGTTACTGGCAACAGTAGATCTAAACTTCTAAAGATCAAGAATGCACGAATTAAGCGCTGACCTTTGAGTATATTCTTTATTAGCGAAATCCAGCTAGTGGTAGTGGACTATTATCAATGCTGCGTTCCGATTGCTTGAGCTACTACTAGGCTATACGTTATAGCCCACCAGTAGCGAAAAGCGCCGGCTTTGAAAACCAAAACAATGTCGGCTGAATGCGTTGTGCTAGCTTAATTTGTTTTGTCTCGATATTTTTGACCAACAAGTTGGATTTTACTAAAACAATTATTTCTCTTCCCCTCATGGCCTCTGGTAACTTATTATTTTAATGAGAAAACCTTGAATTGGGCATAGAGGCAAATGAATTTCACACTGTTTCATGTTATATAACAAAAACAATGAATACCACCAAAACCTAGAGCCGGTTTGTTGGTCTGGACTATAATTTTTCAGCTAAACGATTTTAAATTACCCGATTTTAGATGTATTGTAAAAATTATACAATTTTTAAGTTATTCCATACTTATCAGTGTCTCAAAATGCAGAGTTTACGTCTAATCATTCAAAAAGACAAAACAAGTTTTACTATCCAGATTTTTTTCTCCCTAAAATTCATTTTTCTTGTAGCCATAAAGGGTAAAAATAAACCAATGCAATTAAAAAGGGTAGGGGCTCACCATTTTCGTTTCGTTGCAAAAAGACATGCAACAAATGGGTTATTTTACGCGAAGGCTCTGGGCGAGTTTTTTAAATCAGTGCTGATCATATAACCTTTGTATCGAGGAAACGATAATCTAACACGTCTCTGAGAAAGTCAAAAGTCGCCGCAAAGCCGCATGTGTCGGAATGCTTTGTGAGCGCGGGCAAAAAGTAATGGGACTCGCTTTTTTGGCGGCCGACGTGTTTTTTGGCGCTGTTGACGGTTTTCACTGTCATGCCATAAAAAGCAAAAATCAAAACTGTTCAATGCATAACGTCCGGAATCTGGGAAATGAAAGGAGATAAATATTAGAAAAGCCTCACCGAGAATCAGGTCCGAGCGATTATTCAGACGCAGGATATTCGTTTTACCCAAATCTATAAAGCTTTGTATGGAGACGCCATGTTGGTGTTTCCTTTGAGTGGCACAAACATGGCGGCCGGAAACCCTTAAAAAGTCTGTCTTTGAGTTTTGCTACAAGAAAGTCAATTCATCGCTTGAAGATCTCATAAAGATTTTAAAAAGTAATATTTATTGTGAGACAAGGACTGTGCAGATAGAAACGTCTCAAAAGATTGGTAATTCTTTTTAACCTACATGTGAACTTTCTCGGCCGCCATCTAAGTCCCGGTTCAGACGACGATCTTTTCATGAGCCGAACCTAATTAGACCGGCTGAATTGATTCAGACGCCGATCTTAATTGCAGCTGAACTAAATTCAAAAGGCGAAATTGCTCATTTCTGTCAAACTGCTTATAAAATACGTCGTAATAATTTATGATTAGGCTCGGTACATGAAAAGTTCGGCGTCTGAATCAAAGCAGAAATTCTCGGCCAGGCTAAGCGAAACTGGAACGGCTGAGCCGTTCCAAATTGAAACAGGCGTTCCTAACTGATTTAGACGTCGAACTTTTTATGTACTTAATTCGATGTATTAGGTTCGGCTTATGAAAAGTTCGCCGTCTGAACCGGGCCTAAATGTTCGGATGCGCAAAAGCTTAAAATTAAAGAGTACAAAATTGCAAAACGAATGACCCTTTCGAACGGAAAATTTGTGTAAATAAACTTGTTGAGCTGCTGTAATACCTAATGAAAGTAAATTCTCAGAAAAATCAATATTTATTGCCAACGAGGCAACCGAGCTAAGAAGCGAGGTTGCCTCGGCGGCAGATTTATAATCCCGCACGATGTAGGCAAAACCTCTCAAATTCTGCGTAACCCTTTAAAATTTGCATTTTTGACCATATTTGGGTGTAAGTAAGACCCCATATTCGGGTAGTGACGTCATGGTCTTGTATTTACAACGCTTGGTCCGAAAGTGGGTGATTCAGTGTGCAGCTGTTCGTTGTCTGTACAAGAGGCCCTAACAAGTGAGCAAGCTTTAATACGATTTGTCGTTTGAAAGGGCTATTAGTGCTCTGGTCTGCTTTATAAATTGCGTTTAAAGCAGCAGCTGATCAAGCAATAGCTCCATTTACAATGAGGTAGCGTGTTCGCTTCTCGACTCAGAGCCAGGGTTTTCCGT